CAGGAAGCTACGGAGATTTCCCATATACTTCCTGCCCCCACACGTGTAGTCTCCCCTATGATCAACATTCTTTGTTACAGTTGATGAACCTGCATAAACACATATTTATTTCCCAGAGTTTAGTAGTTTGCATTAGGGTTTATTGGTATTTTACATTCTGTGGGTTTAGACAAATGTATAACAATGTGTATCCACTTTGTAGTATCATACAGAGTATTGTCATTGCCCTAAAAATTCTGTGCTCTACTTGTTTATCCGTTCCTCTCACCTCTCCAGACCCTGGCAACCATTGATCTTTTTACTGTCTCCATAGTTTTGCCTTTTCCAGAATGTTATATAGTTGGAATCGTAGAGTATGTAGGCTTTTCAGATTGGTTTCTTTCACTTAGTAATATGCACTCAAGGTTCTACCATGTCTTTTCATGGCTTGCTAGCTCTTTTATTATTATTATTATTATTATTTTAATTGACACAATAATGCATATTTATTGGATACAGTGTGATATTTCAAGACACGTGTATAATGGAAAATGATCCAATCAGGGTAATCAGCATATCTGTCACCTTAAGCCAACTGACGACTTAGAACGGTTGTTTTTATAATTATCAAGTACATCTGGAATTTTAAAGGTTAATTTTATATTGTGGACTTTCAATACAAGTATTTTGTTTGTTTTGATATCTCTATTATTATTTTAATTGACACAATAATGCATATTTATTGGATACAGTGTGATATTTCAAGACACGTGTATAATGGAAAATGATCCAATTAGGGTAATCAGCATATCTGTCACCTTAAGCCAACTGACAACTTAGAACGGTTGTTTTTATAATTATCAAGTACATCTGGAATTTTAAAGGTTCATTTTATATTGTGGACTTTCAATACAAGTATTTTGTTTGTTTTGATATCTCTATGTTTTTGTTTTAATGTTTTCACTGACTCACAAGTGTTTCTCTTTATTTAGGAGGATGAACAAGCAAGAACAGACTACTTCATTAGGACACTCTTACTTGAATTTCAAAATGTAGGTAATTCCCATTTAGCGACAGTCTCTTAAGAATTGTTTTCAAGGAGAAGATATATAGTATATTATCTTATTTAACATAGTTAAGGAAATTTTTTTTAGTTATGTAAAATAATGAAGAACATCAGAGTTGTTAGGTCTTATTCAGTATCTTGAGACTTATGCTTATCAAATTATTATACATATTAAGGTAATATAAATTACTTTTTAGAACAACTATTCCTAAATTAAATTTACTATGTTTGGAATAGTTATGCATTCTTTGCTACAAATATTTTTCCCTTATTGCAGTAAGCAGATTATTACATTTTTTACATAATTATTACCCTCTTTTACTACTTTACAATTTTTTAGAGACAAATCACCATCAAAGCTAGGTCTCCCTTTAGATACATATTGTTTATACTTGAGGTCCTTGATTTCAGTGTCTCAGAGCTATATAAAACGATGTCTCTAGAAAAGAATCAAAGAAAAATCTGATGGACATTAAAAGAATGCCTGTCAACTTCTTCCTCATCTCTCTATTTTAATATCTTAATTTTTAAACCGTTATAAGTAATTCATCTTGGTCAAGAAGTATATCATTCTTCCCACACTCATGCATTTGTAAACATACCAACAACTTCCTACCTTCTTGTTGATAGATAGTTCCAGTACTCTCACTGCCCCCTGACTTTACTAATCATGTCCCTTTAGATGAGTCATTTATTATGCTTTGGTTACTGTTTTTTAATTTATGGTAATAATAAGTTCTTTATTGAATTTCTGTAGTATATTAGGCATCTCAGTCCTCCTAACTTCATAATAACAGATACTGTTAACTCCATTGCACATAGATGAAGATACAGAGGCTTTGAGAAGTTAAATAGCTTACCTAAAGTTATTCAATAAATGGCAGAAGTAGAAGTTGAATACAGTTTTGCCTAGATTCCAAGCACTGCTCTTTGTGTTAAACACCTAGAATAATTGTCCTCAAAACATTTTGACATCAAGATTCCTTTACATTCTTAAAACTTATGGAGGGTCCCAAAAAGCTTTTGTTTTTTGGGGTTGTATCTTTCAGTATTTACTAAATTCAAAATTTTTTTTAAAACATGAATACACAAGCATACATACCATTAGCTGTTAAAGAAAAAGGCAAGTAACACTTAGTATTATTATGAAAATTATTTAAAACTCATAGGCTCCCCTCCCCCCTCCAAAGGATCAGAGGAGTTGGGGTACCCAGACCATGCTTTGAGAACCACTGATCTATAATAAGACAAGTGGATTGGGCAAGTTTGTTTCTAAGTTCTTTTTCAGTTTAATAGTCTATTAGCCAAATTACAATAGATTCTAACATAATGCTTATGGGATATTGCTCATCCGTTTAATCATGTGGATTAGTTAAATAGTATATATAGTGTAATGATTAAAGTGTACATTCTAGAAGCAAGACTGCTAGGTTTAGATTCCACATTTGTCACTTCCTATGAAACTATAGGCAAGTCATTTTGTCTCTCTGTCTTAATTTTCTTATCTATAAAATGAGGATAGATAATATTAACAGTACTTTCCTCATGAGGATTCAATATATTATTACATGTGAAGCCCTTAAATCATGCTTGACATGCGGTAAGCAATCACAAAGTGTAGGCTATTATTTATTTGGTTTTTCTTTCTTTTTCTTTGTAAGCAATGCTAAATACCACACAGAGATATCTTAGAAATGGTAATTGAGATATGCAGCTTTAAAATTTGCAAATGTATTTTCATAATTGTCGAATTTCTGTTTTTCTTGAAGGAATCTCGTAGGCTGTATCAGTTTCATTATGTGAACTGGCCAGACCATGATGTTCCTTCATCATTTGATTCTATTCTGGACATGATAAGCTTAATGAGGAAATATCAGGAACATGAAGATGTGCCTATTTGTATTCATTGCAGGTACAAAAGAATTTTCCAAACATAGAAATACTATATTTTTTGTTTAATGTTAAATAAGGTTTTATTTCTGCATTAATAGGAAAGTAATCCTGAATTTCTCCTGGCCTTAACGTATGTATGTTTGAGACTGAGGCCTTTTAAATTGATACAATCTCATCTGGTTGACATACTAGTTAGAGTAATATTACATTAAAACATGAGATCATCTATTTGAAAATGGTATTCATATGATGGAAAGCTATCCATACTCTTTATTATTCACCAGCTAGAGCATATAGTCTCATAGATGCCCATCATACTCTACTTCTTAAAGTCAATATACTAATATTTTCTTTTAACCAATTTTCCTGAAATAGTGACCAAGCAATTTTGATACCTGATAAACATTGATGTGAGATTTTTAAAATGTATATAGATACGCATATATAGGGTCTTATTGATCTAAGATACTATCAATTCTAAGACACTTATTTCATATACATTAAGAATGGACAATCATTTCCACTTTTAAGGGAAAATGTCATTTGTAAGAAGCCATTGATGGTAAGATATATACTAGTTTCAGAGCTGTTACAATATAGATTAAAGTATGTTTTAGAATTGATGAAAAACTCAATCCCGTTTCCATTCCGGAGGAGCATCAGTTTTCACGTTTGCACCACTATCTGTCATATCATGAAATTATGTTTTTTATAGCTACTGACAGGAAGCTAGCACTCTTACATTATAGTAAGGTAACATTAATACACATTTACTAGACGTTTTAATCAAATTATGTTTTATAGCAGATTACCTCATTATAAATATTATGTAAGACTAAATGATTACTGATGTTGTTCAGTCTGTGAAAATGAAAGTACTAAGTATAGATGCATCTACTTTAACTTGCTCTATAGAAATCTTTCATTTATTCAAGTAACATTCAAAGCTCAATTAGGTTTTGCAAAAGAGTCATTTGGACGTGTAAGAATTCATGGCAACCCTGCCTTTAACTTTTGGGGGAATGAATTTGAGAATATTAATTCTTGAGGAGAGGGGTATTTAATTTTATATTCCAGGAGGGAGGTTAATTCTATAATATATTTTCCCTAAGATAAGTCAGTTTAAGATAACCAGCTATTCTTAATCTAACATTTTAGATTATCTGGCTATTTCTCCAACTATCAGGCTACTACTCAATCCTCTTAATAATGAAGAGCAAAAAATGTTCCAGTTGGGAGGAAAAAGTCCTTACACTTTTTGGTCAGGTTAGGGAAATTAAGAATGCCTGTTATGGGCCATAGATCATAAGCATCTGTATAACTCTTTGGATCCTTAAATGTTTACAATCCTTTGTTCCCTGCCTCATCTGACAACCTCTCTACACCAAGTGGCTTCTGGATTATAACCTATGGCTTGGCTCATAGAACTCACTGTTGCTTTCTTTTTAGAAAGCTTTTATAAAAGTATTGGCTCCATTGAATGACTTTTTTTTTTTAATAGAGTGAGTATTCAAGAAACTCAGTAAGGAAATACATACTTAAGGGAAGACACTAAGCAGTGTAACTAAACGAAGAGAAAATATAGTAGCCACATGGCTTTGCTTTTTTTAAGCTAAATTTCTATTATAGAATTAGGAATGTTATGGAGAATACCCTTTTAAAATGAATAACATAAAATTGAATTAGTCAAGAAAATATTAAATGTTTGCAGTAGGTTTAGTATATAGGTGTCATTATAATATGGGTGATATAGGGTATTTTGAAACCTAATTTTTGGAATTTCATTAGATAGGTCAATGTATGGGTTTCTAAATAGTAAAAGCTACTTGAATCCTGAGGTGATTTTTCTATTCTTAATTTTAGTTTGCAGTAGATTCTTCTAAAGGCCTTATAATCCTAGTACTATTTTATTTCATAAGACTGCTATCAATTAATCCCTCTAAATGACATGTTATCTGCATCCAGATTTGTTATTAAAAGTAAATGAGCCTGGCATGGTGGTTTAGGCCTATAATCCCAGCACTTTGGGAGGCTGAGGCAGAAGGATTACTTGAGGCCAGGAGTTCAAGACTAGCCTGGGCAACATAGTGAGACCCCATTGCTACAAAAAAATTTTAATAATTAGCCAGGTCTGGTGGCATGTACCTCTAGTCCCAGCTACTTGGAGTCTGAGGTGGGAGGATTGCTTGAGCTCAGCCAGGATTT